TAATTATAATGTAATGACAATTTACATCCAAACTAAAAGTTTGTAACTGCATGTATACTGTGTTTATTTACGTATAAATACACAAATACTGTGCTTGAAATATACAGTAACCTCTGAAAAAGCTATACAGAGGATTTTGGCGTTCAGAATACACACAAATATCCCGAAAAACACTGAAAACGTCAATGATTTGTTAATAAAATAGATGAAGGATGTATTACACAAAATTCCAGTCAATTCCAGTCAATGTAAATATCTTACCCTGCACACATTTCTGATCTTAAATTCCGAATAGTTCACACGACCCCTTCACAATATACTTGTGCCAGCTCTGAGCATTAATATGTTCTCTCTATATTCTGGAATACTAAAATTATAATGGCCTCATTGATCAAACCGTGAAGAACGGCAACATCAGCAGTATACAGGGACGGGAGAATAACGGCTTATGTTACTTGTGCTGTTAAAAAAAGAACTAGATGCTGCTATAAGATCTGTTCTGTTCTGTCGTTTCAAACACAAAGGTCAATTTTAATGACCTCTCAATGCTTTCTATGGGATCTCAATGTACAAAAAGGCTTGAATAGGATGCCGGCATTGTGTAACGGTAAGCCGATAATGGTGGATGTGTCTGTTTGTGCTGTACATGTATGGACTCATTTATCACCAGGAACTGGAATGTTGTGGTTATGAGGAAAGGTTCGGGTTGGGATATTATGTGTCCGAATACGCTGATTCAGCATGTCTGTGGAGTCAAGTGTCTGCTCGCGTCAGAGTAAAACAAGCACAGTTACAGTGCAGAAAAACGTGGCTGTGTCCTTAAGTGACGAGTGCAATGTAAAACAATGATTTATTTGTTAATTGGACTGTTTTTTTTTTATAATACAGATTGCATCAGTACATTCCCCGGCCACTTTATTAGGTACACCTTACTAGTACCAGGTTGGACCACCTTTTGCCTTCAGAACTGCCTTAATCCTTCGTGGCAGAGATTCAACAAGGTCCGGGAAATATTCCTCAAGAGACTTTGCTCAATATTGAAATGATAGCATCACGCAATTGCTACAGATTTGTCTGCTGCACATACTGTACGTTATGCGAATCTCCACCACATCTCAAAGCGGCTCTATTGGATTGAGTTCTGGTGACTATGGAGGCCATTTGAGGCCATTTCATGTTCAAAAAACCAGATGATTCATGCCTTATGACATGGCGCATTATCCTGCCGGAAGTAGCCATCAGAAGATGGGTACACTGTGGTCATAAAGGAATGGACATGATCAACAACAAAACTCAGGTAGGCGATGTTCAGTTGCTACTATTGGTCCCAAAGTGTGCCAAGAAAATATCTCTGACACCATTACACCACCACCACCAGCCTGAACCATTGATGCAATGCAGAAAGGATCCATGTTTTCGCATTGGTGATGCCCAATCCTGACCCTACAATTCGAATTTGGCAGCAGGAATCGAGACTCATCAGACCAGGCAACATTATTTAAATCTTCGATTGTCCAATTTTGTTGAGCCTGTGCGAATTGTATCCTCAGCTTCCTGTTCTTAACTGACAGGAGCGGCACCCGATGTGGTCTTCTGCTGTTGTAGCCCTTCAGCCTCAAGTTTGGACGTGTTGTGCGTTCAGAGATGCTCTTCTGCAGACTTCGGTTGTAACGAGTAGATATTTGAGTTTCTGTTGCCTTTCTGTCAGCTGGAACCAGTCTGGCCATTCTCCTCTGACCTCTGGCATCAACAAGACATTTGCACCCAGAGAACTGCCGCTCACTGCATATTCAAACCTTTGTCTGTAAACCCTATAGATGGTTGTGTGTGAAAATCCCAGTAGATCAGCGGTTTCTGAAATACTCAGACCAGCCCGTCTGACACCAACAACCTTTCTTCCCCATTCTGATGCTCGGTTTGGCCTGCAGCAGATCATCTTGACCATGTCTACATGCCTAAATGCATTGAGTTGCTGCCGTGTGATTGGCTGATTAGAAATTTGCGTCAACGAGCAGTTGGACAGGTGTACCTAATAAAGTGGCGGTGAGAGTGAACATAAAAAGGCAATGGTGTAAAATTAGGCATGACGTTTCATCAGTGTGAATCTAGTTAAAGGGATAGTTCAACCAAAAAATCTACATTTACTCATTATTTACACACCCTGAATTGGGTCCAAACTTTAATGAATTTCGTTCTTCTGTTAAACACAAAAGAAGATATTGTGAAAAATGACTATGGAAGAAAATAGATACGGGCATCCAGCTTTCTTCAAAATATCTCCTTTTGTGTTCAACAGAATAAAGACAATCATAAAGGTTTGAGTAAATGATGACAGAATACTCAGTGGTGATGCAGTGGGTAGTGCTGTCCTGTCGCCTCACAGCAAAAAGGTCGCTGGTTCGAGCCTTGGCTGGGTCAGTTGGCCTTTCTGTTTAGAGTTTGCATGTTCTCCCTGCGTTTGCGTGGGTTTCCTCCGGGTGCTCCGGTTTCCCCCACAGTCCAAAGACTGAATTGGGTAGGCTAAATTGTCCATAGTGTATGGATGTTTCCCAGAGAAGGGTTGCAGCTGCAAAGGCATCCGCTGTGTAAAACATTTGCTGGATAAGTTGGCAGTTCATTCCACTGTGGCCGCCCTGGATTACTAAAGGGACTAAGCCTAAAAGAAAATGAGTGAATATTGTCATTATCGCAATAAATACCAGAAAATATCGCCCATCCCTAAATTCCAATATTGAAGAATCTATAAACCATCACAAAACCCAATGGTGACAAGGAACCCAAACTCCATCAGATGACAGGAATACAGGAACAAATCCTTTGGAGAAATCAGACACAGTCATGTAAATAAAGAAGCAGAGTTGCAGTTTAGGAATTGTGCACGGTTCTTTATTCACGGGTGAAACAACACAAGCGAGCTACTGTAGTTTATTTTTAAAGGTATGGTACAAATTGCTTGACTAATGTCCTACAATGTATTTTAGTTAGCGACACCCTTAGCATTAGTAATACGTGGGCTTATATTGGATATCTGCCAGTCACTTTCATTCATTCATTTAAAAAAAAAAACTGCCAAATAACATCCACTAATCTTCAGTAGCAGCAAACGATTCAGGGCTGTACGTCAAATATCCTCACATCCAAATCCCTTTTAGACAATAACGCATATCCTACAGCTCAACTCGCTCTGACTGGGCATAATGTACATTCTTTTAATTGCACTTAAGGATATGATTTGAATTCCCTATAGACAGGAAGTGTTTAGCTCCATTTTGACATGATCTTTCTGCATATCTCTAAATAACAAGGCTAGTTATTATTCCAGGTTTTGCATCAGCATTATTCTGATATAAAATAAACACAATGAGGTGATATATGTATACACAGGATATGTATTTTCAGTCAACACGGGTGGAAAAGATGAGAAAAGCAATGTCTGGTTCTATTAATAGTTTCCTGTTTTCATTAGGGTTGGATATTGTTTTGGTTATGTCGATACCAGTGCTAAATCGTTACTTTTAAAATGGTACCAAAACCAGTGCCTGAACTGATACTTTTGAGCCACAAAATTATGGTGGACGACTCTAGAAAAATCTTTTTTTAATAGTTTTAATCGAACAATATTAAAGTTATAAGCAAACATCAATTAATATTATATATATATATGAATTGGGGCGAGGTAACGGCGCAGTAGGTAGTGCTGTCGCCTCACAGCAAGAAGGTCGCTGGTTCGAACGTCGGCTCAGTTGGCGTTTCTGTGTGGAGTTTGCATGTTTTCCCTGCCTTCGTGTGGGTTTCCTCCGGGTGCTCCGGTTTCCCCTACAGTCCAAAGACATGCGGTACAGGTGAATTGGGTAGGCTAAATTGTCCGGAGTATGTGTGTTGATGTTTCCCAGAGATGGGTTGCGGCTGGAAGGGCATCTGCTGTGTAAAAACTTGATGGATAAGTTGGCGGTTCATTCCGCTGTGGCGACCCCGGATTAATAAAGGGACTAAGCTGACAAGAAAATGAATGAATATATATGAATTGTCATTTTCATCGGCTTATCCGGGGCCGGGGCAGCAGTCTTAGGAGATAACTCCAGACTTCCCTCTCCCTAGACACTTCCTCCAGCTCCTCCGGGGGGATCTTGAGGTGTTTGAGTTTCGATATGCTTATTTCATGCGGCCGCTATTTTAAAGAACCAAAGCGAGGCAGCAGTGAGAAGAAGCCCAGAAGTGTAGGACCAGCACTGTAAACATTGCAGCAACATGCTGTGGACTACAAACCTCCAGCTGTTGCCGAGATTTTAAAATGCAGAAATGGTGTAACCATCACTTTAATATTATACAGTAAGTTTAATTTAAACAATTAAAAGCAAATTAGGCATCAAACAACATCACAATTCATGGCTTCAGTTCATGGCACCATTTAAACACCATGGGTACGCTTTCCTGCTTCAGCCTATGAAACCCGGTGAGTGCTAAAACACTGCAGTCCTCTGTAGCACACCCTCGTGTTGCCTGTAATAGTGTTGTCCCGGTACTGAAGTTTTAAAACCGGCTAACATTGAAGCGCAGCTGAGCGCGAATGACTCGCCTGATCTTCACGGCTGCTTCGCACTCCAGTCTCTGTGTATCTGTGTTTACCGCTCTTCATCCAGTGCAAACACAGATACACAGAGACTGAAGCGCGACGCAGCCATGAAGATGTCGAGGCATCAAGCAGATCGCTCAGTGTGCTCAGTAAACAGCGGTGGGTGAACTGATGACCTTCTCGGCCAATCACAAGCATTTCTGTCGAGCACGTGAACACAATGGCAAATCAGTGCTGTTTTAAGAAAGCCATCAACAGTGCCTATAGCAATCTACAGCAACTATAATGTAGATTTATATTTAGTTTAACAACAAAACACCAGTAAATAGCGCTATTCCGCCTAACCTGCTTTATTGAGCTGAAGTTGCTTTTATATGTGTGGCTTTGAATCACAGTCCCTCCCCGCCGTCCAAAGATAATATGCTAAGCGGTTAGCATTTTGGCAGATCACCTACTGCACCTTTAACTCGAGTTTGATAAATGGCATCTACAACGTGTGTTTGGGAAAGAAAACGTTAGCTAACTAGCGGCATTTCCGATAACTTGGCTGAAAATGAGCTCTGAAATCCCTTTTTACTTTCAAAATTCATTCAGAACAGACCTTCGGGTCACTCGGAAGGCTGGGAATAATATATATGTGTCACTCTATCTCCGCTGATAAGATATACAGCCAAGTACACAACATTCCTATGCAACTCCCACTGATATTTCCGGGTTTCTTCCCACCGCAGCCTCGACTTCACTTTAAAAAATCAGTCTATACCCAACCCTAGTTTTTATAAACAGCACTATTTAAAACATTGCCCAGAATATGCTATTCTTAAACAGCTCTTCATCTCAGATGTACCATGATGATGATATGAAATCCACTATACTTTGAACTTCAGACACTGGGTGTGATATTCCACTCAGTAAGGCCAATCTTATAGTCCCTGTTAAATCCAAACGTACAATGTTTATTTTGCTAGCGCACATTGTTAATCTTTAGGTGAACAATTCATCAGTGCAAGTTAATCCATTGAAAAACAAATGTTTGTTTTGGTATTCGTCAATCAAAGTCTGACCGTTTGCTTCAGCGTTTTAGTGGCGATCGTTCTGTTGACGTCGGTTTGACAGATTCAGCTCACAATTTTCTTAACCACAGCCCCTCTTACCGTTAGTTTCCTATAAGGGAATGATGCTCAGAGAAATCCCTGCCACCCACTCAACATTCCGTTTCAGTAGGAAGTACGTCATCGTATTGAAAAAATAGTCTGATCAACTTCCGCATCATGCGGACTTTACAACCGTAGCAGTTCATTTCTTCAAGAAGATGCTCTCTGGTCTGATGTATTCAGATGTAGAGACACAGCTTCAACTTCAGGGAAGTGTCCCACATCAACTATTACAGACAAACAAACCTTGGTTTTCAGAAAAACTTGTCATCAATGCGGAAGTGAGGTCGAGTGACGTCATCAGGGTTGATGAACACGGAGATGGACTTGCCTGGATTCTCGGTCACCAACTGCTGTAGCTTCTTGGCCAGCCGGTCATCTGGCTGCTGGTGATCTGCCAAAGAGGAATCTGCAAGCGGAGAGGGCAGTCCCGAGGAGCTCCCGCAGCGCTGCATCTCCTGCGTCAGTCTGTTGGATGCCTTGGCTTGTTCGATGATGGAGCGCAGGTGCTCGGCTGGATCCGATCGGACCAGCGCTAGCTTACGAGCATGAAACATGGCCGTCTCATCGCACAGATGCTCCAACATGTTGCACTGTGGGATGAAATAGTTAGGACAGGCTTTGTTGACAAGGCAGTGCTGCAGGTCATCGATAAGACCTAGGAGGAAGTATGCAGCATAGTCGTCCTGCGACAAGTAGGTTGCAGGTAGTCGGTCACACGCCCACAACATCATGCTGCGCAAGTAATAAGGACTGATCGCTGTGGGTTGGCCTAGCAGTTTGACAACAATAGCCTTGCATGCCTGGTAAGCTTGCATGAGGCCTGGCGAGATGCATTTTTTCAACTGCACCTCGCTGCGGGCAAAAGAAAGACGCCACTCGTTTTCCCGACAACCAGATGCTGAGCATGCAGGGAGAAGATAAAACCCGCTGATGACCTCCTCCTCTGTTATTTTGCCATCCCAAAAGTGGTTCTCCATCAACCAGCTTTGAGCCACCGCAGGCCAGCCTTTAAACGACACCACGGGAACAATGTCATAAAGCATGCGACTGCTGCCTACTCCTAAAACCATGGACAGCAGCGTGCTGTGACGCTCAACTCTTTCCACCCTTGGGGTACCCCTTTGTGGCTTGCGCTGTAATTCAGCCAGCACCAGTCCCACAGCCTCTTGGAACCAATCAGCAACCATTGTCGGCGAGAAGAAGTAGTTGGTGGTACCGTTCAAATGGTCAGTCAGGGTGCAGCAGTCCCGCCAACGGTTGATTGTTCCCTCGTCGAAAAGTCGCAAGCTGAGCCAAGAGTGCCCGAGTGCCGAGTGCCGCATGTCCAGCGTGACAGGCTGGTTCCGGTCGTGGAGCTTCAGTGCAGGAACCAGCAACGTGAAGGCCATGTCATAGTCAGAGCCTCGGGTGTAAACGCCAAGCTCATCCACGTCCATGTCCACCACACCTTCTCGAACTCCACCGGACAGCAGTAGGTACTCGTTTGCAACAGGCAACTTTTGGTCCAGTTTTTGCACCATGCCTGGAACACATAAAAGAACATAGAGTAGAGGTCAGAATTATTAGCCCCCCTGTTTATTTTTATCCCTAATTTGTGTTAATTAAAAATAACATTTCTAAACAAAATTGTTTTAAAGGGCCATGACACCCCCCACTTTTGGTTCAGGTCCACCTCGGAATTTTTTCAAAAGATGCAACATGGTGGGCGTGGAGCTACGCGAGCAAAGGGCAGGAGTGGGCGTGGCCAGCAGAGCAGGGGAGAAGGTGGGGAGCAAGCAACTGTTGTCAGTCGGTTGACAAAATGAAACACAAACCATGAGGAGATGCATGATTTTATAGTTTACAAAGTTAAAATGCAAAGAAATAAACAGTAATTTAATGCCCTGCTACATTTGTCATTTCATATAGAGATAACCACAATTTATATCATTATAAATATAATCGTGTTCATATAAACACTAAATGAGGAATTTTCCCTCAATCCTCGGGTCTGAATGCAGACTCAGTGCAGCAGGTCTCTGCCCTGTCTATTTTAACCAATAGCCCTGCTGGTAATCTGGAGGATTTAGGCGAACACAGCAGCACGGCGATGTGTCTAAATGTGAACGAACTCCTGATTAAAGACATTGTCCGCCATTGTCCATTTCTCGTACTGCTCTCCTGACAAAAACGCATGCAGCACACACACACTTTTGGCCCTGACAGGATCGTGCAACATGCAACAAACTCCGTGGATCATGGAAACAAACATACACGACCCTTCATGAACGGCTAAATACTGTGTGCCGTGGATCCGCGGACGCGTCTGACCCAGTCATCAACGTAGGATTTCACAGCTGAGCTTGGTACTGGCAGCCAGGTCTGCTTTGTCTTCGGAAAGCACATGCTCTCATGAATATTTAAGAAGCAGACTCATCTCATAGGATAAGAAAACTCCGCTATGAATAATAATGAGAAACGGACGCATCTTCTTTGCACTTGCAGCTCTGCGCTACGTCGCCGATTTTGATCCCACGCCAAAAATCATTTTAAACCCTGAAGCTGAAATTAGCTGATAAAAGCTCAAAATTACCCAATTTTTCCCACAATTAAAGCTAACAGATGCTAACATTGTCGTAACTGATGCTTAACACACACAAATCTGTTAAAATCTCAAAAAAGTACTTGAGGGTTTCGTGAACCTTTAATAACTCATTTCTAATCATTTATTTTGTCATTGCCATGAGGAGAGTACATAATATTTGACTAGATATTTTTTAAGATTAAAAAGGTATTCAGCTTATAGTGCAAGTTAAAGACTTAACTAGGATAATTAGATGGCAAGTTAGGGTAATTAGGCAAGTTATTGTATAATGATGGTTTGTTCTATAGACTATCGAAAAAATATATATTGCTTAAGGGGGCTAATAATTTTGACCTTAAAATGTTTTCAAAAAAATTTAAAACTGCTTTTACTCTAGCCAAAATAAAACAAATCAGACTTTCTCCAGAAGAAAAAATATTATAGGAAATACTGTGAAAATTTCATCATTTGGGAAATATTTAAAAAAGAAAAATAATCATAATTTTAGCTGTATATAAATGTATAATATAACAAGGATTCTTTTAGCTAATAATTTTACAGAAAGGAAGGTCCCACTTCATATTATAGTATTTATAATTATGTGTTATCAAATTCTGTACCATCCCTTACACTGTAACCCAACCTTAAACCTACCCATACCACCAAACTTCTCCCACCCTCTAGAGGACCATTAGTGTTCTGCAATACATTATCAACACAGTAAGTACACTGTATTTATTTTTTGATGTAAGTACCTAGTATGCAAGTTTGACACTCAGTGGTCAAACTAGGTATTGCATTCCTGGATCAAAACAAACGCAAACATAGGTTGCCAGATTGAGGACCAAAAGCAATCTTTTCACGGCAACATGTTTTAACACGTTCGATCATGAACCCGGTTCGAATCCAGCGTCTGATGAACTCATTATTCTTTTTTCCTCCACTACATATCAGATTTTGCCTACTCTTCATCACGAGGAAGACAAGTAGGAATAATTAATAAGTGTGTATTATGTTAAGCGCATTTGAGCATCACATATTATGCACATTTATTGAATGAAAATGTTTCCGATTCACGTATGCCAATTCGTCTTTAGATGGCGCCTTTATAGCAATGTGCGTGCAGTCGTAAGCTCTGATTACATTGGGAAAACCGGCGATTGCCCCATACAGCTGCCATTGCATGGCTCAAAGATACTTTGTAGAGTGCAATTTAACACGATTGCCTCTAGGAGTCGCCAATGGAAATAAAACAAACACACACACGCAAGAAATGCACGTACGCCAGACATGAAGTTGGCGAAGACCAACGCACATTCTCACGTTCATTTCATAATTAGTAAATGCAAACGTGAGCGGGAAACCTGCCGTACGCAAAGTTTTTGTGCGTACGCAGCGTTGATACATGAGGCCCCAGGTGTGTTGATTAGGGCTGGAAAGCAAGATCTCCGTACACTGTAATAAATATCCGTAAATTAGCAGTTGTCCGTATTTTGTGCTTCATGTTTTTATTTTTTAAATGTTAAATGTGTTTATTTATGCTTTTGAATTACATTATGGAGCCTTGATCTTTCTCCCAACAACTTTTAATCTTGAAAAGTTGTAAAAAGTTAAATTTATTAACATTTTTATTAGTTTAAAGTGATATATTGTCTGGGTTGGTGTTGTATCATACAAAAACCTTGTAATGAACTGCCAGTCCATTTTCCTTTATTTTACAGACTTATTTCCCTCTATATTATTTCTTATAAACTATATTATGTTTCCCAGTGCTGGGTTGCAGCTGGAAAAGTATCCGCTGAGTAAAACATATGCTGGATAAGTTGGCAGTTCATTCCGCTGTGGCGACCCCTGATTGATAAAGGGAGTAAGCCGAAAAGAAAATGAAAGAATGCATATTATTTTACTATTATTATTTACTATTTATTATTATTTACTACTAAAACGTCAATAAAAGTCGCTTTGTTTAACTGTAGAGTTGAATTTTCAACATCAAAAGTCGACAGAGGACAGATTAAGCTCCCATAAAGCAATTCACAAACGTATATAAACAGCTGTAAACTAACAAATAACAAATAGCCCATAAGCACGTACAGTAGGACCCATACTGAGCTACTGCACATGACCAAAGCTCTTCCAGATCACTGCAGACAGCACAGCACTCTCCTTCGGCGCCTATTTCTAGTGGATCAATAAGAGGAACAGAAAGTCGACACCAGCAGTAGGAAAAAGCACCAGGTCGATAAAGGAGGAATGTGACGTCCTTTACAGTTGTTTGTACGCTATTTTATGTCTGTACTGGATTTTATCACCGCTGGTGAGCATGGAGGCAGCGCCGATTTAAGGTTCTCATTCATTCATTTTTGCTTAATCCTGATTTATGAGAGGTCACTACAGTGGAATAAACCGCCAACTATTCCAGCATATGTTTTACGCAGCGGATGCACTTCCAGCCGCAATCCAGTACTGGGAAACACCCATACACTTTCATTCACACACACTCATAAACTACGGCGAATTTAGTTCATCCAATTCACCTATAAGTAGGCCCACACGGAATCTGCGCGCGCAGAATTCCGCAGACTTTCCGGAGATTTTCCGCAGAATTCCGCAGATTTTTAGCCCATTTTTAATTCTGTTTATTTGCTTGAGTAATTGTCTAAATCTAATTTATTCAGTTTTTATTCAGTAATTTATTACCTTTTATTTAATATATTAAGGTTTTAGTTTTGAGACTCCGCTGGATACTCCCAAAATAATTCCGCAGAATTCGACCAAAATTCTCCGCAGAAATAGCAAAAAACGTCCGCAGATTTCATCTGGCCCTGCCTATAAGGCATGTCTTTGGACTGTGGGGGAAACCAGAGCACCCGGAGAACATGCAAACTCCACACAGAAATGCCAACTGGCCCAGCCAGGACTCGAACCACAGCATAACCATACCATACCCATTCCTCACCTCCTCGAAATGGCTTTTCTTTACTTTTGGTCACATAGAATGCCTTTAGGGCGGGGCTATCTGTGATTTAGGGCGGAGCTATCAATCTTTTAATGTGGGGCTATTAGTCATTTAGGATGCGGATAATAATTCTTTAGGGCAGGGCAGCTGGGGCTATTGTTTTTTAGGGCGGGGCTATCAATCCTTTAGGGCGGGGCTATCAGTCCTTTAGGGCGGGGCTATTATTTCTTTAAAGTGGGGCTATTGTTTTTTTTAGGGCAGGGCTATTAGTGTGTCTCATTTTTTCTGTACTTTTGTCAGGCGTGGTTCAAGCGAATATGCTACAAATCAGTCTGTAAAATATATTTCTATGTTCTCGTCATCAAGCATCTGAAAATATTCTGCAGAAGAGGGTGCTGATGGTGATTCCCATGGACAGTAATCGTCCACAAATCAACACACAAATCAACAAATCAAAAATCTTTCTCCATTCCTCCAACAATCCGATTGGTTCTCAAAGACCAACTTGTTCTGATTTTAGAAACCATTTCAATTGAATGTACGTCACGATAGGAGAGAAAAGGACATCTTAACTTTAAAGGGCACCTATGTTGTAAAGTCTACTTTTTAAGCTGTTTGGACAGACATGTGTGTAGGTATAGTGTATAGACCGTCATATTGGGTTAATATAAACACACACAGTGCTTTTTTTTTTCAATTTAGCAACATAAAAACAGTGGACCAATTGGAGCGGTATTCAGACCGACCGCAACTTGACGTAGGAGTGCGGTCCCCCCGCCCACCAAATTGATTGACAGCTTCTTATTAACATGTCTCCATAGTCAAGCGTATAATCATATCAACAAGACAGGATGTGCACAAAGCAACCGGGAATAAAAGGTCTGTTCAGGTAGCTGTGATCATCAATCACCATCACACGTGATCAAGAGTGAGTTTTACAGGTTTAAAATGTTTTAAAAGTGCATGATTGTAATGAATTACAGCGATTTACTTCAGATTT